GTCGAGACGTGCAGACTCCAGCAGCACACACAGAAAGGGTGCTGCACGCCAAAAACTCACTCGCTCATCTCATTTCACCGTCTACATATATGAAAAGAAAATAATAATATCCATCCCACATACTTCATGGAGCTTTGGGAGGACAAACATAAAACCACGACATAAAAAACGCTTCGAAAAAGGTAAAAAGCACAACAACAAACAACAACAACAAAACCCCCAACCAGTACAGGTGTTTTCATGGGTGTGGGTATCACGGTCTCGGAGACACAAGCATTACGACCCAGGCATCTGGGCAGGCCTTCTCAGAACTTGATCGCAACGAAGATTAGGCAGCAAGAGAGAGAGAATATTTGTAGCATGGGGAATCAGGGCTTGGCTGTGGGAAGAAATACAAACGCGAGGGGGACATGGGATAGTTGAAATGAGGAAAGGAGATGAAAAGGAGCCAAGGATGAAGGCCGGGCGCGGTGGCCCACTCCTGCTCGCCTCGCCCCCCCCGCCCTCCCGGGGGCCAGGCTCCCTGGGCAGGTGGAGCCAGATCGAGCTTTTCCTCAAGAATCGTGCGCCTGGGGGGCATCGTTGGTTCCTCTCGCCACCCCTCCGGAGCCAGCCATCCGCCTGGTGACGCGGGAGGATCGTTGGGAGCTCCAGGAGTTTGAGACCAGCCTGAGCAAGCAGAGTGGAAAGAGCACTGGACAGGGAGTCCAGAGGCTCCATGTGCTAAGGGGTCAGACATCACCCATCACACTTCATGTCCCCGATCTTCATTGCCAACCGCCGTCCTCTGTGAAAACAACAGGAGTCCCGGTTTCCCTGCGTTCTTTCTCGAGTCCTGCGCTTGCCCTTTTGTTCTGTTCTGTCCTGCTTGGGACTGGAACCCTAGAGCCCGCCTCACTGGCGCGGGCAGCTGAGACGACAGCGAGGTGCCCAGCGGGAAGCCTGAGCCCCGTGGCCTAGCCACCGCATCCATAATTCAGCTAGACCAGCCAGGAGGGGTGGCGCTAGAACTTGACCCTGTTTCCCGTTGCCTGTGTGAGGGGCTCGCTCCCGGGTGTCGGCTTGCCTGGGGCCGCCAAGGTCGCCTCTGCTGCCACGGTTGGAAGTCAAAGAAACGCCCCGCCCCGGGGCAGACCGCAAGTCCAAAAGAACGCGCCCAGTTTAGGCATGAAATTCTGGAGCTCTTTGTGAGTCTTGATTAAATGTCACCAAATGACATTGCAGAGGACCGAGCTTCTTTTTTTTTTCGTTTGTTTGTTTTTTGTTTTGCTTTTGAGACAGAGTCTCACTCTGTCGTCCAGGCTAGAGTGAGTGCCGTGGCGTCAGCCTCGCCCACAGCAGCCTCCAACTCCTGGGCTCAAGCGATCCTCCTGCCTCAGCCTCCTCCCGAGTAGCTGGGACTACAGGCATGCGCCACCACCATGCCCGGCTAATTTTTTCTATATATTTTTAGTCGTCCGGCTAATTTCTTTCTATTTTTAGTAGAGACGGGGGTCTCGCTCTTGCTCAGGCTGGTCTCAAAACTCCTGACCTCGAGCGATCCTCCCGCCTCGGCCTCCCTGAGTGCTGGGATGACAGGCGTGAGCCTCCGCGCCCGGCCAGATGGTGTCTCTCTTGACTGATGCATTGTTTGGGGAACTCCATGAACACTCAGTTAATAGAACTCAAATTTCATTGCCTGAAATTTCCAGAACAGTGGCTGTTTAACTGGCAGGGGCTGAGTGAGGGTTATAAAAGAATGTGAGTTTTTTTGCCAAACCACACCCGTTGCTAGACCCCTGCTCGCCCTCGCCCCCACCCCTCCCGGGGGCCAGGCTCCCTGGGGCAGGTGAGCCAGTCAGTTTGCAGGTGAGCTGGGCGTCCGCGCGCCACCCTTCCGGAGCCATCCGAGCCTGGTACCTTCCCCCGCTGCAGCTCCTCATTTCAGCATTTTTAATCTTTAATGACCCTTCTAGGGTGGAGAATCATTTGGCAGCTTCCTTAGTCCATTTGCTAAATGAAACTCGGTTTCTGGACTGTTCTCAGGTGACTCATTTAAAAGTCCGGTGAGGCAGGAGTGGGGGCTGGGGTGTCAGGCAAGTGGCAGTGGCTTTGCATTTACTTTATTTCATCGTGGTGTTTGTAAGATCCTTAAATAATCTACTTTTTTTCTCTCCTCTTAAGATTTTAAGGCAAATCTGAGTTGACCAAACTTTTGAGTTCTGGCCTGATTTCAAACTCAGACTTTGCTTCTGAGTCCCTCCTGCCTCCCTCTCCCTGGCTTCTTTTTTTTTTTTTTTTTTTTTTCCTTTGAACTCAAGGAATTCAGCCTGCCTAAAATTTAATCTTGATCCACGCCCACCTCGCCCCTTGGATTAACCACTTCATCATCTCTGGCCAGATCAGAGAAGCCACCGTCTCTCTCTCGCCTAAAAGACGGGAGGGCAGTGGATTCCCGCCGGCAGCCTGGCTTCCCTTTGATTTCATAATCTCTCTCGGGCTGATTACGGGCAAGCTTTGAATTCCAAGGCTCTGGGCCTGTCAGCTTCTCAAGCAAAAAAAAAAAAAAACTTAGAAGCAGATAGATGCTCCACCTCAGGCCTCAGAAGGGAGGCCTGCATGTTGGAGGCTGAAATTTAAGGTCAACGTGAATAATTACCACTGCAAGCATTGCAGCTTCTTGGGGTTTATTGTTTAGTTTATTTTTTATGGCTTTTAAAAGAATTGTGATTAGTTGGGGAGGGGAGGTGTTGCTCTTTCTTTTTTTTTTTTTCCTTTAGTTTTTTTTTTTTCCTTTAGTTTATTTTTTTATGGCTTTTAAAAGAATTGTGATTAGTTTGGGGGGGGAGGTTGCTCTTTGTTTTTTTTTTTTTTCCTTTAGTTTTTTTTTTTTTTTTTTTTTCCTTTTTTTTGTACCTATGGCTTTAAAAAGAATTGTGATTAGTTTGGGGGTCAGTCAGGTTGCTGGCCTCTTTGTTTTTTTTTTTTCCTTTAGTTTTTTTTTTTTTTTTTTTTTTTTTTTGAGAACTGTAATCTTGGAAACCCAAAAGAAAAAGGCATAATCCTTTCAGAAATCCTCTTTGAGCCTAGCTTTTTCGGTAAACCTGTTGACTGCACATTTACGTTGAGACTACCTGACGTTCCCCATCGACGCACCTGGTACACTAGCAGACACTGGAGCTCCCGTGCAAGAGGTAGAAGGAGGCAGAAAGGGCTGAGGGAAGTTTCTAGGCCCGTGAGTTCCATGTTCTTAAACCCGATGCCCCTTCAGGTAGTAATTATCCAGGACTTAGGCAAGGAGGGCCTTGCACGTGGAATTGTTTTTGCATGTGTTAATACTTAAAAAAAAAAGCTAACATGCCACCAAAAAAATTTTTTTTGAGTGTGTGGGGGGGAGACAGAGTCTCACTCTGTTCCCCGGAATAGAGTGCCGTGGCATCAGCCTCGCTCACAGCAACCTCATTCTCCTGGGCTCAAGCGATCCTCCTGCCTCAGCCTCCCGAGTAGCTGGGACTACAGGCATGCGCCACCACGCCCGGCTAATTTTTTTTTTTTTGTCTATATATTTTTAGTTGTCCAGCTAATTTCTTTCTATTTTTTTTTAGTAGAGACGGGGGTCTCGCTCTTGCTCAGGCTGGTCTCAAACTCCTGACCTCGAGCGATCCTCCCGCCTCGGCCTCCCAGAGTGCTAGGATGACAGGCGTGAGCCACCGGGCCCAGCTGGAAAATTTTTTTTAAATAAAGATCCCTCTATACCACTCATTGTTGTGACATTACATGACGGAGTGATGGTATTTAGGTACATTGTCACACTAAAGAAATAGGTAAAGGCGCATGTGCGTGTTATTGATAGAGACAATACCCTTTCCACACATACTTACATGTTTCTACCAGGCTATTGAAAAAGCCTTCTTGTTAACTAAGGCCCAGAAGTGCAGTTTGTTTTGTTTTTTTAAAGGCTGGTGAAGTGACACAAGTCCAGTTTTCCTTTGGGATCTTTAAGGGTGAAAGAAAAAAAAATGATGGAAAAATGATAAATTACAGTTCATCAAACTTTAGTATAAAACAGCAGAATGGCCGGGCGCGGTGGCTCACGCCTGTCATCCCAGCACTCTGGGAGGCCGAGGCGGGAGGATCGCTTGAGGTCAGGAGTTCGAAACCAGCCTGAGCAAGAGAGAGACCCCGTCTCTACTATAAATAGAAAGAAATTAATTGGCCAACTAATATATATAGAAAAAACTAGCCGGGCATGGTGGCGCATGCCTGTGGTCCCAGCTACTCTGGAGGCTGAGGCAGGAGGATCACTTGAGCCAGGAGTCTGAGGTTGCTGTGAGCGAGGCTGACGCCACGGCACTCACTCCAGCCTGGGCAACAAAGTGAGACTCTGACTCAAAAAAAAAAATAAATAAATAAAATAAAACAACAGAATGTTAAGTCTTCAAAGCATTTGCAGTAACTGCCGTTTAAGGCCTCACATTTTTGTCTCTGACAGCACAACTGTTAACTCCATAGTGTGTCGTGGACCCGGAAGTGAATTTATATCTTTAATAATATTTGCACTGTGAGTCTGCTGAAATAGCCCTGCAATGACACAGAGGAAAGAAATTATCTCAGGGAAACACTCAGCAGATGAGGATGAATGTAGGGGGAGTCTGCCCGGCCTAAAAAAAATGAACTTGTAGAGATAAGATAAAAAAAAACAAAAAAAAAAAAACGTTGTCTGAATTCTCAGCCTCGGAGTCATCCTTGTTTCTTCCCGAACTCTGCTCTTTAAACGGAAGCCCCCACAGCTAATTAAAACATGCACACTCACGCACACACACACGCACACGCACACACACACATGCACACACACACCATGTGGTTTCTCAACGCGTCTCTGCACACACACCCCCCTTCCCCTGCAATGGTATGATCTGCATTTGATCGCAAACTGGAGGTGCCAAGCTGTGACAGGTTTGGAAACTCCCCAGCCATTTGCTGCACCCCGAGCTCAGCCAGGCCTGTCTTCCCCCCGACAGGGGCAGATCGAAGCCGACAGCCAGACCGTCTTCAGGTTGGCCGCGCTGATCTTACAGGTGAGCACCCCCACCCGCCTCGCCCGCCTCCCTTTTGTTCCCTGCCGTCTGTTCCCCGCCTGCAACTCGGAAACTTTTCCCCGGGCCAGTGTGTGTGTGTCTGTCTGCTGGAATTTTTTTTTATTTTATTTTTATTTTTTTTTTTAGCTAGTTGGTTGTGTTTGCCAGTGGAAAAGCATGAGCCGCTGCGTTCTGTTTTAAAAATAGTTTGCATGAGCTGCAGCACGGTATGGCATGTCCCAAGGCAAAATGAACTTTAGACAGCGGCTGGGGACAAGAGTCCGCAAGCCGCGTTGCAGCAAAAGAGCTCTCTGGGCTGCTTAAATCTGGGAGGCGGCAGTTGTCACAGCAAGCCGCAGTTTTCACTGAGGTCTAGTGACTTTGGTGGACAGTTTTCTTGAGGTTGCGTGCAGGAGCCCCTTTTTAATTTTTAAAGGCATCAGCAGCTGAAAAAAACTGAAGTCTGTTTCCAACGCTGGCTGAAAAAGTAAAGAGAAAACAAAACAGCAGGCGTCGATCTGCCTGTATCCTGGTTTAAATTAGGGTCTTCGTGGTCCAGGGTAGAAAGCGCGCCAGTCCAACAGGAAAGCAAAAAGCGATTATTATTTATGATTCTTAGAAACATAAAGGAAGGAATAATTTATGTGTGCTTTTCCATATATACACACACACACATATATATATATTTTTTTTTCTCTTGTGTTAAGAATAAGAAATATCCCTAGCAGTGAGAATGGAATGAAAAAAAAAAAAAAAAGAATAAGAAATATCCCTAACAGGATACTAGTGTTTTTTTTTCTTTTCTTTTCTTTCTTTTTTTTTTTTTTGCTAGTGTTTTCTTATCAATGCCAAATTCTTCCCCGGGGCCGTGCTGCCGATCCTATACACACTGCAGAGCTGAGCTCGGGGACTTAAACTGGGGGGACACGATCAAGATAAAATTCACTTAGCTTAACATAAATCCATACTGATCATCTATCTATTTTTTTTTCTTTTTTTTAGGAAGCCAAGGGAGATTATACCAGGTAATAACTCCTTTTCTGATATTTACCCTGCTAAAACAGCCCCTCCCGGGAATCCCTTGCTGTGCTGTTAATTTAAATAACAACGGACGGGAACTCAAAGGGAAGCGGGTCTCTAGGCAGGGGGGAGGCGGGGAGGCCTGGGATCTCCTTCCCTCTGCAAAATAGAGCCCTGTTCTTCCTGGGCTTGCACGTTTTCCAAGCCAGAACGACAGGGAATCGCAAACGCCTCTGTCCCCTCACCTGTGGATTATTAGCAAGGTGCAGAAGCCTATAAAGAGCTGTGGCCATTTGTGCTGAGTTTTTTTTTTTTTTTTTAAATAATACAAACTTATAATAATCCTGTGTTTGAAGAGTTATAATGTATGCATGGAAGGATTCCACCGGCAGCTGCTGAGTTAAGGGATTAACAGGCTTTCTCTGGCAGCTGCCCCCAGGGCCTCGCCCTCCGCACACTTGACCCGACAGTTGTGTTGTCGCCCTGCTCCTTTCTAGCTGCCCCTGCGGCCGCCTCCTGGGGGGAGGGGGTTTGTGTTTGCACCCGGCCTCTACCTGCCCGGCCTCTACCTGCCCGCCCCGTGCCTTCAGCCCACGACGGGGTGGCTGCAGCTGGGGTGGAGGCCGGTAAACTCTGCCCCGGGTTAATGTTCCACCGGGGGACACTCAGTTCTCACGGGGACAGTTTGCAGGCTGCCCGCCCGGGTCTCTGGACAGACACCGAGCTCCCTCCCCGGCTGGTGGCAAGACAGTGCCTCGCGCGCCCGGAAACTTCCAGTCTCAGAGCCGGGCTCCCTTCCCACGACACGCCCGGCACCCCCCCACCTGCCACGCAGGGGTGAAGGGTCGGGGGGGGGGCCCGGACACCCCAGGATTTACCGATTTGCTCACCACACTCGCCCCTCGGTTCTGCTCTGTGCTGCTTTTTTTTTTTATTATTATTATTTTTGAGACAGAGTCTCACTCTGTCGCACGGGCTAGAGTGAGTGCCGTGGTGTCAGCCTCGCTCACAGCGACCTCAGACTCCTGGGCTCAAGCGATCCTCCTGCCTCAGCCTCCCCGAATAGCTGGACTACAGGCATGCGCCACCCCACGCACGGCTCATTTTTTCTATATATTTTTTAGTTGGCCAATTAATTTCTTTCTATTTATAGGAGAGACGGGGTCTCGCTCTTGCTCAGGCTGGTCTCGAACTCCTGACCTCGAGCGATCCTCCCGCCTCGGCCTCCCTGAGTGCTGGAACTACAGGCGTGAGCCACCGCGCCCGGCCTCAGCTTTTTCAATGAAAGCGGTGACGGAACACTGAATTCCTCAGGCTGCTCTGGCCTCTGCCCCTCGGGGTTTCCCCTCCTCCTGGACTTTAGCGTTTCCAAGGGGCCTCCCCGCCACGCCAGCCTCCACCCCCACGCCAGCCTTCCACCATGCCAGCCTCACACAGCCTCCCCAATTCTGCCTTGGATCCCACCTCCACTCTCTCTCGTGTGGCCTCTGAGAGCCCTGCTCTGCCGCCCTCCCCACCCCACACCCCTGCTCCCTCTGTCAGCAGAGTCTCAGCTTCCTCAGCCTCACCCCTCCCCAGCCTCCCCTCCCACCTCCCACCCCCCCAGCTCACCTCCCCAGCTCCACCTCCCCGCAGCCTCACCCCTCCCCGCCCTCACTCTC